GAAATTTCTTCTTAGTAAGCGCTCAAAAAATTATTTTACTTGAGTAAACTATAATGATCTTTATTGAGATTTGAAAAAAATATAATTAACTTCGTACTTTAACATGATTACAGTAATCTTTACACTCAAAATAAATATAGTTAATCTCACACATTCGATTCTGTTAGTTCAAATTTTAAATTTGTGAAATTGTAGAAAAATAACACGATTCTTTGAATCTTAAAGGTTGGGTGGGGAATCTCTTACATTAGCTAAATTTTTTTAAAAAAAAAATCACTAAAAAATTAAAAAGTTATAAAATTATTTTAAAAAAATCAAAGATTGCCTTTTGATTTTACTTTTCATAAGTTTTTTTTTTGTAAAAAATTTAAAAATATTGTAAACATACTAATTTTTTTCACCTTATATTTTACCTAAAAAATTATTAAAATAATATATTCCTAAACTAACCCTAATAACCAACAGCATTTTATGAATTAGTATTTGAAAAGTCGACTGAAAACCAAAAGACAATCAAAACAACAGTTTTCCATGTTTGAAAAATTAACTCAAAATCCTCCAACTACCAAACAAATGCGGTTTCAAATTTAAATTCTGAAAATTGACCTAGAAAAGCAAAAATCAAATAGAGTCATTTTCTTTTAGAAGGACAGAGACCAAGCAGTACATCAATTCCTTTTTCTCTTCTCTTTCTTCCCTATTTCTATTATACCGTATAAATAATTTGTTTAATGTCATTCATAATTTTATCATATAAATTATTAAAGTTTGTTAGATGTATCATTGATTTATAATTTTATTTTTGAAAGTACACCTTGAATTGTAATTTTTCCTTTATATTATCTAGAGTTCAATTTATTATGGTGAGTTTGAACATACAATTTCGAATTGCAAATCAAGCTTGGGTTACTCTCGACGACTTAACTCAAATTGGGCTTACGTAATCTTTCAACTTAGCCGAATTAGCCTGATTTGCATTTTTATGGCCAGAGAAATACACCAAAACCACACAGTATTGATGCTAAAAACTGTATGTTGGTAATCTATAAAGAGGACCTGGGGGTGCTGCTGTGACTTAGTCACAACAACGATCTGCTGTGAGCCTGTGGGGACTTTTTTCGAGTCTTTTTCGATAATTCGAACTGTTCATATTGTAGGATTCATCAAGTATATCATTTATATAAAAAAATTAAGTTAATCGGAAATCCGTAACCCCATGATCAAATTCAAATATTTTTACAAAAACTATCAAGGTAATGTCAACCGTTTATTTTTTTAAAAACAAATATGCTCTTGTTATAAAGCTATAGATTTCCAATCAATTTGATTTCTTGCATGAATGATCTATTTAACAAATCCTACAATATGAACGGTTTGAATTATCCAAAAAGACTTGGAAAAAACCCCCACGAACTCACAACAGATTGCTGCTGTGACTTAATTACAGCAGCATCCCCAAGTTCCTATAAAGAATAGTGACAATCTATTTTTCTTCTATTTTTTAATTATTAGTTAATTATATATTTTATACATCATTAAATTTAAAATATAAATTGATAGAGTATCATATTTTCCATATTTAAAAATGGTCCGAGGAAGGGACAGTGGCGATAGCGTTTGTAATTGAGCCTTTGAGTTGTAATGTAATTAAAAGGTTCGGGCTTCTTTTTAGTCGGATTTTTCAATTGGAACATTTGGTTAGGTTTTTGTAGATTTATCATAAAGTCCATATCGATAATTCAAACTGTTAAATATATAATATTGATTGAATATTTTATTTTTATAAAAAAATTATATTGATCGAATATCGATGGTCGTTTGATCAGATCACATTTGTATTAATTATTTATTTTCAAAATCATAATTATTGTTAACATAAATTTAATCTGATTAAATGAGTATTAATATCCGATTATCATAAATTTTTTAAAATATAAAATACTCAACGAGAATTATTGATATAGATTTTATGATGGATCCATAGTGTCCACAATTCAGAGAGGAGCTCATCCTAACTAAAAAACGAGTCTTTATTAGCGATCCATGGATTTCTTATCTCTAAATATTCATATTTCTCTATATCAAATCACTTACAATCGTTGAATATGTTTTAAGATTCTCAAATTTTGAAATTTTCATCCAAACTAAAAAAACGAGTCTCTATCAGCGGCTCATAGATTCTTTATCCCCAAATATTCATATTTCTCTGTTTCAAATCACTTATAATTATTGGATATGTTTTAAGAATCTTAAATTTTTAGATTTTCATATGAATCAATTTATTATATGTTTTGAAATTCTTAAATTGAGAATCTCATAGGATTCAATTCAATAATTGTGAGTGATGAGGGAAGGAATGTTTGGGACATGGGATCTTGCTCCTACCAGCGATCAAAATCATTTCGAATCACACACCACACCTCCCCCCACCCTTTACAGATCACCCTCACCACTGCCCCCAACAAACCAAAAACAAAAAACAAAAAACAAAAATTGCAAACCCTCCCTCCCTCCCTCCCTCCCTCCCTAATTTCTAAACCCTCATCTCTTCTTTTCCCTGTTTCAAACCACCCAAAATCAGATTCCAAATTCTACATTTCCACTCATTCATTATCCATAATTTGTGTATATATATATATTTATATACTTGAGTGAGAGAGGGAATTGGATCGATAGTTTCAGATAAATCGCATATATATCTATAAATAATTAATTATCATCATCATCGAATGGCAGAGGAAGACGAAACTCAGGGGTCAGAGCTGAGCGATAAGCAGAAGAGAGAGATCGCCAAATGGTTCCTCCTCAACTCCCCCGCCGGCGAAATTCAATACGTCGCCAGAGGTCATTTCTAACTTTTCCTTTTCTTTTCATTCATTGCCCCCCACTCTCTCTCACTAGAAATTGTTGTAGAAATTGTTGTGTTTTGGATTTTAATTTGGGTTCAATGTCTTTTTTTTTTTGTTTTTGTTTTTATTTTTTATTTTTTGGGTTATTTGGCAGATGTTAGATCGGTTTTGAATGATGACAATGTGTACAACACGGCGGTTTCGGAAGCATTTCCTCTGTACAATAAGTCTCACTTGATATGCCTCAAAATGCCTGACAGAAGCGGAGATGTATGTCTTTTTTATTATTAATCATTTCTTTGGCCTTTCTTGCACTTATTTTGAGCTCTGATTTGTGGGTTTTCAAACAACTTTAGTGTTTCACATGTGTGTAATTCAATAAGTTTTATAGTCTTTAAGAGTGTCCACTGTTGCCTTGAACTTGTTTGACTGTTAACATATCTTTCTATCTGTCTGTCAAATGTATTTGCAGGTTTTAATTACGCCCTTTAGTGAGATTAATGAGAATGAATATCTTGATCCTAGGACTGCTCAAGTTGCTAGAGTTGATCATGTCAAGCAAGTAAGTTATTTTCATTCTTTCAAGTATGATATGCATTATGTATGAAAGTTGGGGCAACATGTATTCATTGTTTTATTTGATGTAAAATGTACAAAGCACATATTGTCATGATCCTTACCCACATCTAGGGTAGAGGGCCCCTCCAAAATTTTGAGAAAGTCTACTTTTATACAGGGACATGTACAACCCTTTAAATTTTTTTTTATTCCCGTGTAATGGCCCCCTCCCAAACTCAATTTGGCATGCTTAGAAGTTTTGGAAAACCCACTCTTTAAATGGGTTTCCCTTTGAAATTTAATGCCACAAGTAATGGCCCCTAAAAAAATTAGTCTTCATGTTAAAAATCCATTGATAGCCACATTTCAAAAAAAAAAAAAGAAAAAGAAAAAAAGAAAGAAGCTAGAAACATTGAAATTTTGCTAGAGAATGAAAAGGCCTAATGGAAAAAAGATGAAAATAAATTGTGGAGAAAGAGCAAGGTAGTTGATGATTTGAGCTTTCGTTTTTGTGATTTGATGGATAATTTTAACATGCAAAGATGCGATATTCAAGAGAGACTAGACTAGAAGAAACAAAAGTATGAGTACTAGAGGAGATGAATGAAGTGGAGCAGAAAGATAACAATGATATGATTATGGCTATGGACATCTTCAACATGGAGTGTTTCGAAATTTATTATTATCATCAATGCAAAAATGAGATTTGATTTATGCTAAAATAATAGCACATCAACAATTTTTTTATTTTGATACCCTTTTTTGATTTTCTATGATTATGTATTGTGTTTGTTTTGTTTAATGCACCTTCTATTTATTTTGTAACTTCGACGTAAGTTAATAGTTAGTGAATGGTGGATGATAGGTAGTGAAAAAATAGCACAAAAAATAATATGCTTTTGGAGGAGCAAATACTACACTAGTGGAGCAACTTCTACCAATTCTGTATAAAGTGCACTTTTTGTGTTAAAATAACACAAAAAAAAAAAAAAACCTTTTTGTATTTATCAAAAACAAAAAACAAAAAAACACAAAAAATACTACACAAATGGAGATACTTAATATGCTCATATCGAATATCCAAAAATAGTACGAGTCATTTGAAATACATGGCAAACACCCCCATAGTCATTTAAACTTGTACTAACCCGACCGCTTGAACTTGCCCAATGCCTTGATCCAACCCCCCCCTCATGAAATCTTGGCTCTGCCTTTGTGGACATGCATATGCAAAGTAATACCCAGGGTCAATGTTTTAAAAACTGAATAGGTAAGCGAACCAGAAAAAGGATTGAGTGGACGGGTCATTGGTTCAACTGTCATGTCATAGATATATTAAAAATTATATTTAAATAAAAATATAAGTAATAAAAATATAAATTAAAAAAAAATAAAAATGTTAAATTATCTTGAATATTTCTCCTTATATTTTTTTTATACTAAAAAATATAAAAATATATTTTAAAATATTATTAATTTTAATTTTGGAAGGAAACCAAATATTCAATATTCCCTCCATATGATTTTAATTCAAATGTTTTGATTGAAAGAAGAGTAAAAATTTTGGAGGAATATCAAAATTTCAAATCTCCCTCCAACAAATTTGATTGAAATAATTGAATTGAATCCCACATGGATTTTTTGAGTTTTTTGGAAGAATTTTTTTCTTATAAATAAGTAGAGGCTTTCTTGAAATAATTGAATTGAATCCCACATGGATTTTTTGAGTTTTTTGGAAGAATTTTTTTCTTATAAATAAGTAGAGGCTTTCATAATGATTTCAAGACCCTTGAAAGAGAGTTTCTAATCAAAATTTTCATATATAATGTACATACATGTAATAAGAAAGAAAGAATGAAAAGAGAGTTCTAAAATATCAAGAAAAAAATTCCAAAATTTTCAATTTTGGCAACCCGGCCAGTTCGATTGAACCATGACCGGGTCGTTCGGTTCAGTGGTTCAACCACCGGTTTTATCAGTTCTCTCTAAATACGCTGGTTTTCAACTTTGAACGGTTCAGAGGGTATATTTGGACTGGAACCTCGACTGATCGACGGTTCAATCAACCGGTTTGGCCTAGTTTTTAAAACCATGCCTAGGGTATTATACATATAAGAAAGTGTCATGTTTGACTTAGGGGTTTGTTTGGCATGTGAACACCCAATCACATCACTCTCTTTACTTTTTTGCACGTTATTTTGTAAAAAGTCAAAAAATCAACTAAAATAGCTAATTCCCAAACAAGCTCTCAAAAACAGACACGTTGAACGTGCTCCGACGCATGTTGGACTTAATTCCAAGTGGGTCTTATTCTTTTTGTTAATTTTGAAGAACCGGCACAATTTAAGCACTTGGGGAACGTGGGTTTCTATTGTTGACACACATGAAATACATTGGTCTAGGCATTAGTTTGAAGAAAATAAGTTGAAGGCCAATGCTTAAAATCAAAACAACATGAAATTATACATAAAAAATGTTTAAAACAGTGATGTTGTCATTATGTTACGGTGTCAGTAGGAGGCACAACATGTTACACCCACAATAGTGGTGTGACAGAAAATCACTAGCATAACACCTGTAACATCCCACCAAAAAAAAAAAATTTGCCACAAGTATTATATGCCCTCTTGCTTTTTCAATTTTTTGTATTTAAGCACTTGCAAGTTTGAAACAGAACCCTCTTGAGTATATAATAATTATTAACAAAATAAATATGAATAAGTGATGTATTATGAATTCATCATGAAATCATTAACTATTGAAAGAAAATATAAAAAAGCTCCCTTCATAATGACTTAAAAATATTATTAAAATATGCCATATATTGGACCATGTTTGAAAAATTCCATAAAAAATAATTTAAAACCCTAACAAATATGATTTTAAAATAAAAATATACATATCGATAAGTTTCCCCCAAGTTGTTTAAGAAAGGAAAAAACTCATGGCTTCGGTTGTCACGACTGTTACGCTACCCATTATACTTGACAACCACGCTATTGCTAGCGCAACCATTACGGCGGCCACAACCATTACTTGAACCTTTGCTCTTTTTAAGTTTAGGAACCTTAACACCTAAAATTTTCAATTTGTTTGGGGATAGAGATTTCTAAAAGTATGCATTTGGATATTTTGTTTGCATACATTTTTTTGTGAAAAATGATTTCTTAGTTTGATATAATAAAATATAACTGCTCGTAGTGAGAAAGATAAATATGTTATTATTTCAGGTATATATTTTGTATGTTTTATTTGTATCCACGTCCCTATTGTGTCCATGGTCAAATTTTTAAAACTTTCCGGGTCGGTGTTTTCGTGATGTGTTGTGTGTGTCTATGCTTTGTAGGGTAAAAATCAAATTCATTTGACGAAGCTAAGCAATAAATGCAGATTGTAGGATCAGCTGTATAAATCTTTTTTTCCCCCCAATTCAGTTCTCTATTGGGTTTGGTCCTTTATCAAATGATAGGCCGTGGTGCCTTTTTGGCCCATCATTGTTAAACTAATAGTTTTTAAAAGGCAACAGGCACACTGAATAATTTTTTTGTCACTTGAGACAAAACATAATTTTGAATGTATTATTAAATCAGTCTTAATCTACAAGTCATCTATAATAAATTTGTAGATGTGGAATAACATTTCTTAGTGGGGAATGACAGTACAAGATAGTTATATAAGCACATCTTTTCCAAGAATTTTTTTCTTTGAATATCTATGCAATTCAAATTTTGGTAAATAGTTTGTCACAATTTTTACAGGGAATTTAGGGCTCTATGAACCAAAAAAGCTCAAAATTTTTTTTTTGAGTCATTTTGCAAATCTAACGTATATTGTTTTGATTTTAAATTCTGCTCTTATTCATGCAGTTAATTAGTGAAATAGCTGGATACATTTTGATCGTGAATTGCACAAAGCTTCACTATTTTTCACTTTGTTTTAACCTTCTTGTAGCTCACGATACATACCCATTTTTGTGTTCTATTTCAACTTCCGATTAATATTTATATGTTCCTCCATTATTAATTTATGTGATGAAATTCTAAATTGGTTCAGGTTTGTACAGAAGTGAGACCAGCGAGTGACGAAGAACTTCCATCCCCATATATTGAGGATTATCGGTACGCTTTGTGTCTTTCTGTACCATTATATGGGGTTTTATTTTTTAAAACCGTTGGAGAATACTTTTAACCTATAAAAGTTTGACTAGGACCAAGGGTTAATATGTCCTAGATGTCTATAGGTGTGTCCTTTCCAAATAATTCTGTTGTTTCTTTTCTCCACTTAGTTTAAGTTCCTTCCCGAGGACATCCATATAAGCTTATGCCAACCTTATCTCAACACCAACTTGGAGAATTAATTGTTGCAATATTTAATCATATATTGAACAAATGGTTTAGTGATATGCTGTCTTTGATCAGAGTGGAGGTTTAATAAATTTGTCTTCTAGGTGGATGAATATGTTTTTCATTTTGCTAATGAATGTTCTTGACAAAGTGAAAGTGAGACTTGTATGACTGATTTTGGAGGCTTGAGGGAGAAGATATAGCTCATGGCAGAAGTAAGATACTTGTGTGGGTGTAGATTGTAAGCTTATATTTCAAAGATCTTAGTCCTTCAAAAAGGTGAAGATTCTTAGTGGGAATGAGGAGGAATGAATGTGGTTTGTGCAATTGAAACTTAAGATTTGAGTTTTTTTCTAAATGAGTGAGAGTGAAATTCTTGGTGGGGAACAAGGATGGTTACAAAGTATGAAAAGGTACATCGTGCAGAGAATTGTGTTTGTATAGAGCATTTCCTGATATGTTTTTAGGTTCTGGAGGAAATGAAGATTTGATAAGAGATGATTGGATGAAATTGGAGAATTTTGTGGCCTGTTCTCCAACGTTGCAGGAATTTGTTTTCGGGGGGTTGAAACCTGTGACAAACTGTTGATGCAACTTTTCTGTTTTTTATTTTTTATGAACAAAATTTTGTTGAAAGTAAAAGGAAAAGGAGTACAAAGGGAAAAGCCAAAAAGAAGATAAATGACAAAGAAAAGGGAAAAACCAATTTACAAAGGACATACTGCCTTCCAGTCTCTAGATAGCATAAACAAAGGAATTCCATTAAAGGAAGATGACCCCGAATTGCTGATTTTAAAAAAAATATAAAAAAAAAGATGATCTTGAAGTCCAAAAGAAGATAAATGACAAACCAATCCCATAAATCTTTTGAATGTTCAGACTTGTTATGACATGTAATCATGGTTTTAAAAAGCAGCTGCAACCGTTACGTAATAGTTGTGGTGGTTACTGCTACCCGTTACGGCCATTATAGCGGTGTGACAGAAATTCACGACCGTAACGGCCGCCACCGATACGTAAAGGCTGTAGCGGCCGTTATATTGCCACTATAGCACCGTTACGACCGTTGCACTTTTTTTTTGGGTAAATTACAAACACACCCCCTGAGGTTTACTTAAATCACAAATTACCCTTTGTGGTTTTAGAAATTACATTACGCCCCTTAAGGTTTCTAATTTCATAACAAATAGATCATTTTATTAATAAATCATCAAGTTAATTAACAGTTTATAATAATATTAAATTTTTATTTCAATTAATAATTCAGATAATTTTATTATTGTATAGGTGAACAGATAAAAATTTTAATTTTTCAATTCATTCTGTTAAATGAAAAATTATGACAGGGAGATATTTGTAATTTTTCAAACCATAGGGAGCAATTCGTATTTTAAGCAAATCTCAGGGGTGTATTTGTAATTTATCTTTTTTTTATATATAAATTTGCATATATTGCTATTTTCTCTTTTTGTTATGTTTTCATTACTTTTTTACTTAATTATATTTAAATATGAACTTATATCTATTTTTCTTATCTTAAATTTATTCAGCCAAATTTAGATTTCATGTTATGTGCTTTTAATGTTGACATTTTTTATTTTGAAATTCTGTTTATGAGACTTTTATTTTTAATATTAAACTCTTCATTTTTCTTCTTAACAAATCGGAAAAGTTATCCATAATTATAATTAGTAAAGTAAAAAATTAAATAAATTCAGCAATAGAAAAAATCCATAGCAACTTAAAACTAATATAAAAATTAGTATATATTGAAAAGCCCGGCTCACACTTTTCCTTAAAACTCAGGTATTAAGGAGAGGGAAACTGAAACCTTATAACTAGCATAGATCCTTATAACTAGCATAGATGGGGCAACTCCAGGCGATGTGGGACACATTCCAACACACCTTTCTGGACCACAACATACACTAGTCAGATAAACAACACACCAGTCACAGGCCTAATTAAGCTCTGATACCAAATTGAAAAGTCCAACTCACACTTTTCTTTAAAATTCAGGTATTAAGGAGAGGGAAACTGGAGCCTTATAATCAGTACAGATTGGGCAAAGGTGATATGGGACACATTCCAACACACCCTCTTGGACCACAACAAACAATCGCCGGACAAACGGCATACCAATCATAGACCTAACCAAGCTCTGATACCAAATTAAAAAACTCAGCCCACACTTCTCCTTAAAACTCAGGTATTAAGGAATGGGAAACTAGAGCCATATAACCAGTACAGATAGGACAACTCCAGGTGATGTGGGACACATTCCAACACACGCTCCTGGACCACAAAATACAATATCCGGACAAATAGCACACCAATTACAGGCTTAACGAAGCTCTGATACCAAATTGAAAAGCCTAGCTCACACTTCTTCTTAAAACCCAGGTATTAAAGAGAGTGAAATTGAAACTTTATAATTAGGACAGATGGGGCAGCTCCATGTGGAATACATTCCAATAGCATATAATTGGATTATGTTTTCAAACTAAACAAAAATACTAAAAATCATTTTGAACCTCACTAAATGTGATTCTGAAATAAAAACATGCATATCAGTATGTTTTCTTAAAGTTGTGTGAAGAATTAAAAAATTTACAGCTCAGGTTACCGCCACCGTTACACTACGGCCATTATATCCCGCAACCGCGTCACCGTTACCACTACTGTTACGGTAACCTCCACCGTTATTTAAAACCTTGCATGTAATATATAAGATCTTCATGTCTGTTTTTTTTATAGTATTTAATTGGTTGAAATGAATACTATTACCCTGTTGTAGCTGATAATGGGAATGTAGATCATTAATAGTTAAATGTCTCTCCAGCTATTTTTATGTTGGCAAGTGATGGATGATGCTTGGGAAGTTTGCAGTTTGATGAATAGTTGGTCTTTCTAAGCATTCTGCTTTAATGAAACTTCAAATCTCAAACTTTTTTTTTTTTTTTCATTTTATAGTCTAATTGATATGAGTGAATGATTGGAGGAATGGTAAGTAAGCACAATGCTTAGGAAGCTTGAGTTTGCAGAATCAGTCGAGTAACCATCAGATTTTCACCTCTTGCATCTAGCCATATCTACCCATATGATTGATCAGATAACCTTGTTAGTCCCCCTAGATGGACCGTGTTTCTGTCAGCTCCTATTACTGGCATTCCAACTTTTTATTTTTCCGTATTGGAAGGCTGAAGGGCAGCAAAAAAAGGAGTAAAATTTAAGATTGTTTTTGTGATAAATAAATAAAGAGTGCAAAAATGAAGCAGAAAACATACAAACATGGTAATTATGGGTATCACAAGAGCATATCTACCATACAGAAATAGGGAGAGAGAATCTACTGATGAACTCTTTGAGATTATTTTCATGATAAATAAATAGAGAGTTTGTTAATGAAGCAGAAAACATACAAACATGAGACCATGCATATTGTAAGAGCATATATACCATACAAAAAATAGAGTGAGAGAGTCTGACTTAACTCTTTAAAGGGGCACAAAAGAAGTGCTTCCGGAAAAAGAAAAAAAAGAAAAAAACTAGAGCACCAAAAAGACATTGAATATTATGGTTCTTGATTCAAAACACTGGATAGTTCATGAGTTACAACCACATGAACTAGGGTTGCGTTTGGTAGAGTTTTCTAAATATGATTTGAGAATATAGTTGTATTTTGACTTGGTGTGAGTTTGGGAATTATGATTTGAGTGTGGAAAATTTGTTTGGTGAATGAGTTTTGAAAAGAGTTTTGAATTGAGTGGAAAATTTTTGATGTGACATATGATATTTGATATAAAAACTTGTAACTCATAACAAAACACACTATTCAAAATTCTATTAAAACTCATAAAAAATTTTAAAAAATTCGGAAAATATTTTTTGTTGAATATATAAAAATTAACACGTGTCAAAAAAAAAAATTTGCACTGTTCCGGACGATCGGTGGGACGACCGGTTAGCCTAAATTTTCTTGCCTTCGACCGAGTTTTCAAAAGTGAGTGTGGAATTAATTTTTGAAAGTCACAACCAAACATCATATGCAAACTAAGAGCTAGAATTACAATTCCAAAGCTCTTCCAAACAAAGCCCTTCCATGAGATGTTTGTGGTGCTTAGATTAATAAACGGCATTTTAACTTAAAAATTATAGTTTATGTTTATAAAAAAATATAGCTTTCGAATGGCTCTTAATTCTTATTGAATGTGAGAATATTGTAATTCTTCAACAAAAGTTATAATAGGTAATGGTAAAATTTAAGACAATAAAGTACACAGTTTTAAAAGATTGGTTTGGGATGAAAACTAGGAAACAGGAAATATGAGAAGGCATTAAAATTTATGGAGAATTCAATTTTGAGATGATGGAGTCCGTTGAAATCAATGTTTGTCTTGAGCCTCCTACTGAATGGAAAGGCCATTTCGGACCCCTATGTGGACATATACATAAATTTCACTTGTTAGACAAAAAGTTATAATAGGTAATGGTAAAATTTAAGACAATAAAGTACACAGTTTTAAAAGATTGGTTTGGGATGAAAACTAGGAAACAGGAAATATGAGAAGGCATTAAAATTTATGGAGAATTCAATTTTGAGATGATCGAGTCCGTTGAAATCAATGCTTGTCTTGAGCCTCCTACTGAATGGAAAGGCCATTTCGGACCCCTATGTGGACATGTACATAAATTTCACTTGTTAGACATATAAATTCTACAGTGTGTATCTGAGCTTGTGAGTCTCATATATGTAACACATTGTACCCATTTGCATTTGAGTTCACGCGTTTATGAAAGAACAATGTAATAGAAAATGATGAAAAGCTTGGTTCAAGGTCATTGCAGAAGCTTGGTTCAAGGTCATTGCAGAAAGAACCTATAAGTAAAAGATGAATCCATTATTCATTTCTAGGTGGCCAAACAGGTTAACATAGGTGGAAACTTATTCTATATGGACAGGGGTCAATGGGTCATACAAGTCCATCATTGATAGGTAGAAGAGTCTTAACAAATTCTAAACTATGACGGTTTTATATTACCAGTGTAAGATTGAGATGTTTTAGACTTGGGCTATTGGTTGGTTTTGGTTTGTCATGGCATGGTTTTTCTTGCTTGCTCGTTGCTGTTTCCCTTTCTTTATTGATTCACTGAAAAACAAAACAATGATGCATGTTTTCAATGTTCTCAACTCAACTGGCTCATTGAGCTAGATGATGAATTGGTCGGCCATGATTTATTATGGTGCACGTTGTAACATTCCTTTTCCTACTGCCATCTTCTTTTGTGGCAGATGCGTGCTAGATGCAGAACTCATGAAATATGTTGGTGAAGCTTATCCGAAAGGTGTACATTCAGTTTATTGTGTCAGAGGAAAAGATGTGGAAGAACCAGGATCTGATTTTGAGCTTGTTGTGGTAATTTCAGCCGCTCGACATAGCCCACAAAATTTCTGGTGTGCTAAACTGACTCCACTTTATTTGGCCTTATTCTTGTTGCTTAATTTATATGTAAACCATTTTAAATTTTAGCTTGTGTGTGAAAAATTGCTCGAGGTTCTGCCTCATTTAATTGTATATTTATTGACGTATTTGCAATGACACATACTTCTAGTTTCCAAATAACGCATTGAATCGTAGTATTTTTCTTGAGTGATTGCAAGACTTGTTGCTAAATTCTGAGGCATTCTTTGAAAGTTTTAGGTTCTGTTTGTCTTTAGGAATTTGAAATGTATGGATTTGACATTACTCATTCAAGAAAAATAACTTAAATTTACATTTGAGAGTTTAGCTATAGATGTCAAGATTATATTATGTAATTTTGTCATGATAGATTTGGAATCACTATACAAAATCAGTTATTTGAAATCATGCCAAGGATTCTCCTTCTAGCTACAAGGATCCTACTTAAATTACTTATCTTCTATCTCAATCTTTTTTCTTCTATAGTTCTATCCACCTATAATAACTAACACTACAATTTGTAAAAAAAATTCAACCTCAAATCCTTTGATTTGAAATCCACATCCACCCAAACAAACTCTTAGATATTGTGCGAGAAATTGGATTAGGCTTTGTAGACAAAGTGGATGGTTACTAAAGACTGCCATAAGTGTGCTTTAGACTAACAACCAGCATGAAACATTGACTGAAAGCTTTGACAGCTCTTAATAAATGGCTAGAGACGGGTTCAACTTGCTGCTTAAACTTGTGATGGGGAAAAAATGTATATCCAAATTCAAGAGTCATTTATGACGACTAGCATAATGTTTGTGTGGATTATGACCCGACATTTGTTTGATTCCCAATTCTCTTTTTCTGTGGATTCTCACACCAAAAAGACTTAAATCTTCTTCTTTTTCCTACCAAGCTTGTTGGCAGTTTCTATTTGTGAACACTTCCATTTTCTGTATTTGCCAGTTTCCTTGACAAAGCAAAATTTTGGTTCTCTTAAAATTGCAAGTGGTAACTTGCATATAATATTAAATAAACATATAATATTATGAAAGGCAACTTTTAGTTTGCTAATTATAGGTCTTGTGTTCATAGAATTTATTTTCTAATGCTTCCAGTGTGCTATTGTTTATGTTAGATTGTTAAAATTCTTTTGTAGCAATATAAAAGCAGTTGCTCCATTCTACAGAATTTGATCGATCGAGTATGTAATGATAATTGCTGTTACTTAGTCGACCTTGTACCCCTAAATATGTGTTTTCTTTGGAGATGTTGCAAGGTTTTGGTTCTTTTACCATTATTCAGCTATTGTTAATATTTGTCCGTCTATCATACAGCAATGGAAGCTGGCGCTCAATATGGAACGTTGAGTTCAAGGATGATTTACAAATAGTGGATGTGAGAGGCAGAATGCAGGTATGTGTATTAACTTCTGTAATGCACAACCATATATGATTCTTGAATTAAACAGATCTCCTTTTGACGTTTTGTGTTTAGATTAAGTGAAGAATGAATCTATATGCATGGTCTGATATAAACAAACCTAATTCAGTTGTGATTTTCTTCTTCATTCAGGTAGGTGCCCACTACTTTGAAGAGGGAAATGTCCAGTTAGATGCTAAACATGAATGCAAGGATTCAACAATATTTCAGGTGGTTATGAAAACTCACCCACCCTTTATATTTATCTATTTTCTCTTTCAATTTTTTGGCGTGCTACGTTACCATTATGTTTAGTTCCACTGCTCCTACTTTCCAATATCGCTCTTTTCCAAATCCTTGAACAGTTGGACACTGTAGACTTGGTCAGTAAGCAATTATATCACCGAACAAGTACACCTTAATACAAAGGCATCAGATATATTAGGTGCAGATGCCATTTCAGAAAATAGATTACAACTTAGGTTACTTGACTTGTATTCTCCAATCTGGTTATCAAGATCACCCGGAAGATCTTCCAAGTCACGAGCTTAGAATATAGACTGAAGCAGGATGGAATTTTTTTCTCCTAAATACTTCTAGCAAATGAGATCACAGTTGAAGATGCTGATAATTTATTGAACCTTGTGTCATATTTGTCTGGCATTTGCGTTAACTCACAAATTTCACAGGGCACTTCTAACAATTCCAATTAATTCCCTCGCATGAAAATGGTGTTGGGCCGTATAACTTATCTTCATTTTTAATTCCGTGTACCTACATATTTGTGTTACCCAGAAAAGAAAATGTAATAAATAGAAGTAAAAATTAAGAAACACGACTGTGTCAAAGGTAACTGACCTTTTGCGATCTTAGTGACTTGGAGGCAGTCTGCATGTCTACAATATGATTTTGTCCCGAGTGACCAATATGCCTCGTTGAATGTTGATTAGATTTCATTCTTTGGTAATCTGTTTTTTTCTCTCTTTGGCTGATATTTTTTATATTTGTTTCAGTCCGCTGATGACTCTGCAATATCTTTGACCAACATTATTCGTCATCATGAGACAGAATACCTTGCTGCTCTTCAGGTTCTGTATGTGTTTCTATTTTAGTCCAATACTTGGAATTTTCTAGGAGGCCTTTACTGACAGTTACATATTGGCAGGCATCCTACTCAAATTTGCCAGATTCCACATTCAAGGTACTCTCTAGACTAAACTGTTTGTGGAAAATTTGCATCAGCCAAATCATTTGAATATTAGAAAAGAATTAGCTTGGATTGTTATAAATGACAAGCATGGAGCCTCTCTAGTTACTGGGCATTCCTTGAAATGGTTACTGCTTGAAAGCCTCAAGGTCCCGCAGTAGTTTAGGAATGACCACCTCACTGATGTTTCCTTTCCCTCCTCGATGCAGGACAGCACTGTAAGGGCTGTTCTGGGGTTGTGAAAGTGCTGAAATTTTAAAAAGAAAGAAAGGAGGAGAAGATAGGTCTAAGAATCACTCCTAAAATCCCTTAAGCATCACACCTAAGGTTTGATTGCATCATACAATTCATAAGAAAGTTTCAAAGCTCTTAAAATTCTCTGAAATATTATGTCTATTGAATTGATAACATTACGTGGCTTTATATAGAATTAAGAGACTTTCTAAATTAACTAGAACCAAAAAAGGAAACTTTAAAAACTAATTTAAGACTAAATAAGAAACATAAATAAAACCTAATTAAATAACTTAACCCACAAGACGACTCATGGGTGACCTGTATAACCCATGTATAGAAATTATGAAATTACCAAAACACCCTAAACTAAAATAATAATAATAATAATAATAATAGAACATGACTCATAACTTCATGAGCCTAAAACATAACTATCTAGGATCCCAAATGAGTTGCTCATCATCCAATGCATGCCAAATCAAAGCTTGGGCCTTAGAGGCATCTCTTCCTCGTCTCTTGTGCACCTTAAGAGGGTGCCGCCACTTGCCCCAAACCCCCCCCCCCCCCTTTTCTTCACAATTCCCTTCTCAAATCCTTGATCGAAAAGCACACCCTAGAGTTGACCTTGTCTCCATAGGTTAAACGAGTGTATTGTTTCCATGTGGTCAAACTGTGCCAAGCACCAGTCATTTAATTCATGAAGTTGATTAAGTTAGAAAGTGCCGTAATCAAAATCTTTACTCTTGTTCTTCCACGGTATTATTGAACGTCTTGTCCTTGATACATCTACTTTTGTACATGAACCTATCACGCTTGAACTGATACCATTTCCTATTTTCTGGAAATGCTACATTTTCTCTGTAGGATTGTAGGAGTCGGATGTAATTACTCGTTCTCTTTCTTGTTTTAGATCCTTTTTTTTTTCACTGACCGGAGATTGTATTGCAGGATCTTCGAAGAAAGCTTCCAGTTACTCGTACTCTATTCCCATGGCACAACACTATGCAATTTAGCCTAACAAGAGATATCACAAAAGAACTTGGAATTGGAAAGTAAATATGATGCTAGAAATATATTGCTATGGTTTCTTCAGATTAATACCGAGTCACGACCATTCGATTCTTTTTGTTTTGTTTTTTTGCTTTTGGGGATGAGGGGGTGGGTGGGGGGGCACTTGTTTGGAATGGGGTGTTTCTTGATGGCTTTTCTCAGTTGCCAACTGCTTTATTATATTAGAGTTTTTCAGATTTTTTTGGTGCATTCAGCTGTAATGATTGTTCTTGTTCTGAAGAGTTGTAGAGAACCTTGTGACTGAGTATAATTGTTGACTATTTATTTCTCTCTTTTCTTTTGTTGGTTATTTTTCTCTTTCTAAGTATTTTTGTGATGTCAGTGGAAATTTTTGAAATATAACTATTTTAAAACAAATTGGTATGAAGTGGTGGTAGCTTTGCCTTGATTTGGGTTATGCATTCTTTCTCCTAAAAGCAAAGGGATTATTTAACAAGATATATATTGAGAGAGAACAGGATTTTGAAAGCTGGTAAGACAATGCTATGAAAATGCAGGTAAATTTTCCATCAAAAATTGGGAGAATTACCTTAAATAATCTTCCTCAATCAATAAACAATTTCCAATTTCAAACATCATTTTATTTTATGGCTAAATCTTTATATTGACACTGTCATTATTACACTTCAAACATATTAGGGTAAACTATTGCCACATTTTTTTTTCTATATTTCAAATCTTTGTTATCAACTAACTACTAGTTTACTAGTGATGATTTCTCCATGCTGAAAGAAAGCTATATAGACTTATAAAATCACCAAACATTATTAATCAACGAAAACACAAAATTTCAATTATTACATAGGTTTTAAATATCTAGTATAACAATTGTTAATCAATGAAAAAACCAAAATTCCAATTATGACTTATGTTTTTAAATATCTAATATAACAATTGTTGATCAATGAAAAATAAATAAAAAATCAAATAAGCAAAGGGAATGGATAGTTACTGTGTTATATTTTAGGGAAAATTAGTCTAGGGTCCCTCTCCCACTTTTCGTAATGGAAAAGATCCACAAAATTATTTTTTGATGTCTAAGGTCCCTAAACATATCCCCTCTTTGTCTCTCCTTTCGTGCCCGATCTAAACGAAGAGCTACCATCGGAAGCTATGGGATTTTTCTACCATCCTACTAACCTATCTATATATCATAATAGAAAAATACTTTGGAACTCTAATTCTTGAGCTCTAAAGCCAGCTTTTCACTTATGATGGTAGATTTTTCTACCATCCTACTAACCTATCTATATATCATAATAGAAAAATACTTTGGAACTCTAATTCTTGAGCTCTAAAGCCAGCTCTAATGAGTTGGCAGTGAGCTCCATCCACTGTAATGTGATGTTTTGGCCTTGATTTTTTTTTTTCCTTACCATGTCATTAGTGTTCCATTAAAATACCAAAATTAATACTCTCAATCATTGCTGATCATAATATTATATTAGATATTAATTTTGTTTGTCTGTTGGAGGATCTCTGCTTATAAAAACAAGAGGAAGGTAAAGTTCATGATAGGAGGATTTCGGAAAAGAAAATGAAGGAAAAGGAAAGAAAGAACAAAAGGGTGAGTGAGAAAGTTTAGAATGTACAGTTTTTTCATGATTTTAATTAAAATATTATGGTGCGTAAACGACAACATCAAACATTCTTATCCTAAACCTGTCAATTGTTTTGGAAGCTGCGTTGATTTGATCCTCTACGACAAAAAATAAATAAATAAAAAGAAGGTAGATTCAAAATTCAACACACAAAAGAGAGAGACAGAGGGTCCTCCAAAAAAAAAAGAAAAGAAAAGAAAAGTGTATTCAAGATTTAACACACAAAAGAGAGAGACAGAGGGAGGGTTTTATCTTAAATCAAAATGATATCTCTGTTTTTGGTTATTCAAATATTTCACAATATAATCGAATCAACCTAACAAAATACCGTTATCAAACTTTATTTATTCTATATTAGGTTTATTCTACACTCCTAATCAGAGTATTATTCTTTATAACAGAAAAAGAGCATTTGGGGTTTTCAGTCGAGTTTATGGTTTATTCGAATGTTACACCACACCAGGCTACTTCTTGATTTGCGGTTTGAAATTTGCTTCTTCTTCATCAATGTCAGAGTTGAGTAACGACATCTTTAGTTTTCTTTCTTGACATCGGTTCAGTTCCTTCAATTTTTTTCCGACGATCTTGTTAAACAATATCTAAAACATATTATTTTCCATATTTGTTAGGTTTCATATCTCTCTAGATTTCCTTATTCTTTACTTTAAATATATATAGGCCACTTTTTGCAATAGTTTGTATTTGGGATTGCTGCTGCGCATGGGCGAAACAATAACTATTGCACATCTTATTGAGCCCATTTCAGAACCTAATTCGATAATCTAAACCATTCACATTTTAGAAGTTATTGAGTAGAATATATCTGTAAAAAATCACGTCGATCAGATTTTGTCGGCTCTGTTTGGAATGATTTCCAAACTATATTTCTACCCCCATATTCCAACATGATGTTTGGACACCACACTCAAATCACATTTCTACAACATTTACAAAACTCTGCACAAAACTCTGTCTGAGGCGCGATTTTCAATTTTTTTTTTCAAATTTGGCCTAACCGGTCGTCCCACCGGTTGACCGGAACATTGCAATTTTTTTTTTTTTTTTTTTTTTTGCAATTGACATATGTTAATTTTTATATATTTGAAAAAAATATTTTCCAAATTTTTAAATTTTTTTATGTGCTTTAATAAAATTTTGAGTTGTATATTTGGCTATGAGTTGTAATTTTTTGTATCAAATATCATATGTCACATCAAAAATTTCCCACTCAATTCAAAACTCTTTTCAAAACTCTTTCACCAAACAAATTTTTCACACTCAAATCATAATTCTAAAGCTCACAAACTCAAAATACAACACATACTCTCAAATCATATTTACAAAACTCTACCAAATGTAACCGTCATCTCTTTCATCAAATCACATTTGCATTGAATTTTATATTTCAAATTACATTTATCTTTCTTTTTTCTTTTTTTTTTAAATACAAATGTGATTTGACGAAAGGGCCAACGATATTCGATTAACATGATTTTTTATTAGTATATTCTACTCGAAAACTTCTAAAATGTGAACGGTTTAGGTTATTGAATTGGACGTTGAAATGGACCTAATAAGGTGTGCAACACCAAACTCTAATAGTTTGATACACAATACAATGACAATATTATTCGATATTATTCAATATACGAAGATTCTCTCTCTTCTCGCACTTCTCTCTCTTTATACAATTATCTTAATAGATCATATACAATTTCTTCTGCAATGCATTCCATTGAATCTGAACGATCCACCTTGTCCTCCATTTGCTCCCCATATTTTTTTGCCTAAAAATATATATACTGAGAGAGTAATTTATGTGATTAAATTGGGCAGAGTTATGGGCCGAGGTAAGAGCTTGTGTAGCTCGACATTGGGCCGTGTAGATATTAAGCCATGGCCTGAACCGGGTTGTCTGGACGTAGTCCAATGACAGACTAAAGTTCACCAGTGCAGAGAGCCAGGCTGTTTCTAGCCCAGCCGGATACTATCTCGGTTTTGTCCCTTATAGGGCAGGGTTAGGTTAGTTCGGTTGATCGAACTAACAGCCGAGGTAAAAGAGCTAAGACCATCTCGCTTGGTTGGTAGTGAGTAGGGTATTATCAGGATAGGCATTATCCATGGGAATGAGACTCCTAGGAGGACTCTGCTGAGGAGAAATAAAGTCTTACTAGGATTGTGCCACGAAGAATCTATAAAACTAATGACAGAACCTATATACAGGTATCACAATTCTTACTCTCAAATACACAGAGTTTTTGTGTCTATTGTCTATTTCCTGACTTAGGGATCAGAGAGGTTTCCGGCACACACTCGCCGGCTAGCTCACATTTGTGTTTCCAGGAAGCAAAGCGACGACATTTGAAGGAGTGCAAACTTGATCAACAGGATTATACGAGAAGATTATTCTGTGCTCATACAACTGGCGTCGTCTGTGGAAAGTGCAATAGAGAACAAACCTTTTGATCAAATTTTTCTTCAACTAATTTCAATGGCGCACAATGACGAATTGTCACATTCTGCTATTGATGGACAAACCCCAGAGGGAGGCACGAGGCGCGAAGGTTTGCCTTTTGTTCCACCCATGGCAGAGTTGGACCCCCAGTGACGAAACTCGCAGAGGGACACGCGAGAGAGGCGAGGCATTAGTCCTCGTCGCTCTCAAAGCCTTGATAGACAAAGGCAGAGGATTGATCCTTAGGTTCTGGAAGATCGCATAAGGGAGCAAGACGAATTGATAAAGAGAATGACAGCTGACATGGAGACTATGAAGCGCTAGATAAAGGGTAAAAGGATGGCAAGAGAAGAGATTCGCGAAGGTAGAACACATTCTTATCACTCAGGGGATAGTGGCAGGCAAGTCATACCATCCCAGACTGAAAGCAGGAACCTCAGGACAGACAAGGCACAATTAAGGACTTCCATGACTCGTTTCTCTAGGTCTGAGAGAATGAGGACTAAAAGGTCTTGTATTGAAGGAAGTAGTTATCGACCCTCGTATACACACCAAATGACATCTAGGCACACTGAGTTGCCTAGGTCAATGGACTTGCGAACAGTACTGGAAGAGAGAGCTCAAATGAGAGAAGAAGCCCAGGCACGCGACCCCCAAAAGGTCTCTTCTTTGCAGCGGTTGGCTTCTTGGACACATGAAAGTGTTGAGATGGGAATGCCAATACCGCGCCTTGCTTACGAGCCGACAGACAAAGCGTTAGCAAGATTGCAAAGCTCGCCGTTCGTTCCGACAATTGAGAATGCACCGTTATCCTTAGGCTTCCATCAGCCCAAGTTCACCATTTATGAGAGGAAATTAGACCCCTACATGCACTTGACCCACTTCCGCCAGGTCATGGTTGTATACCGACGGAACAAGGCTTTAATGTGTGTCTTGTTTCCCTCAAGCCTAGGCGATCTGGGCTTGACATGGTTTGAAAGGTTGCCAGAAGGCAACATAGCTTCATGGGCGCAACTTGTAGAGGCGTTTGTTACCAGGTTTAAGACAAACACCAAGACACTGGTGGAGATAGGCCAACTACTCTCCGTCGACATGGACGAGAAAGAAACTCTAAAGTCTTACAACAACCGGTATTGGGAAACTTTTAATTAGATTGGAGATTGCCCCACAAACTTAGCTATTGCACAATACAAACGGGGTTTACCGGCAGGCAATAAATTGAAGGATTCAATGACAATGATGCCACCCCTCACAATGGAAGCCCTAATGGAGAGAGTGCATTAGCATATCAGGGTAGATGAAGATGGCGCTCGCGCCAAGGAAAAGTTCGGCTCAATAGCGATGTCAGACAAAAAGCCCACGGCAAATGTTAACATAATTGGCCATGATGATCGACCAAACAAGAATGGTCGGGGCAGGCGACCAAGCAGCGAAGACATCCAGACAAGGACGTTGAGAGTCCGCACCACCATCACCACGGTGTTCAATAAACCTATCTACCGAATTTTTAGTGAGATACGCGATAAACTCTTCGTTCGATGGCCAGCCAAGTTGGGAGAAGCTCAAAGGGGTTATGACGCTAGGTGCTGGTGCACCTTCCATGATGAAGTGGGGCACCGAACTGAAAAATGCACGCCTTTAAGGAAGCATCTGGAAGAGTTAGTGGTCGCAAGCCACCTGGACCAGTATATTGATGAGGGAGCTCAACCAGCCCCCCAGAACCGAGACAGGCCAGATGGGATGCCAGCCAACGGTCCGCCCCAAAGCGTAATCAATGTGATACATGGGATCATCAAGCCTGAACGAGTATGTGAGCTCAAGGGCATGATAAAAAAGGCTGAGCACATGAGGAAGGTACAAAGTACACAGCCTGCTGCGAAAAAGGGAAAGACAGAGGCAACTAACGTCATCACCTTTTCTGACAATGACTTAGCAAGGTTACAAAGCCCTCACAACAACGCACTAGTGGTTACTTTGCATGTCAAGAATTTTGATATCAAACGGATTCTGATTGACCAAGAGAGCTCGTGCGAGATAATGTATTATGAGACCTTCAAGCAACTTAAACTGATGGACAAAGATTTAGTGCCCGTGACATCTCCCTTGGTCGGTTTCAACTCAATGCCAGAATAGTCGGTTGGCAAGATAATTATGCCGGTGAAAGCTAGAACAATGGTGAAACAAGTGGAGTTTTGGGCACTTACAACATAATCTTGGAAAGAGCATGGTTGCATGCCATGCGAGCGGTAGCATTAACCTATCATCAGGTGATACGGTTCCCTAACGAAGCTGGAGTTATTGAAGAGGTCTTGTAAGACCAAATCATGTCCAAACAATGCTTCGTAACTGTGAATGGCAGTTGAGCTGCCAAAGGATTCGTACAAATGGGAGAGGAGCCTGAAAGCAATGAGTTGTTCGCAAACGTCGGCAAGGCAGCCGAACAAAAGGCGGTAGAGGATCTGGTGGAGGTTAGAATAGACAATAAGGACCCAGAGAAATTCTTTATGCTTGGCTCATCTTTGTCCTGCACCGAGAGAATAGAGATCATGGAGTTCTTGATCTCTAACATCGAGGTGTTTGCTTGGACGCCGTACGATATGTCGGGCATCGACCCTAACTTTATCTACCATAGACTTAATGTTCACCTAACCGCCAGACCAATTATACAACGAACTCACCGATCGGCACTCCACCATGCCGAGGTAGTGGCTGAGGAAGTGGGAAACCTACTAGAGCTAGGGGCAATCAGAGAGGTTTACTATCCCAAGTGGATCTCCGACACCGTGGTGGTGCCAAAGAAGAACGGCAAGTGGCGCGTTTGCATGGATTACAACACAATCAACAAAGCATGCCCAAAAGACAACTTTTCTCTGCCACGGATAGACCAACTAGTAGACTTAACTACAAGACACAACCGACTTAGCTTTCTTGATGCATATCGCGGTTACCACCAAATTGCTATGTATGATCCGAACTAGGAGATCACATCCTTCACAACACCTAGTGTGACACCCAAATATTCAATTAATTTTACTATGCAGTAAAACAAAAATCATATACATAGATATGAATAACTAATAATAATAATAGTAAAAAATCTTAATGAATATGGTCATTGGGGGTATTACAAAAATATATGTAAACAAATAAAATAAATAAAAATATGGGAACTACTTTAATTAAGAATGGGGCTATTGTGTAATAAAGATAGTGCTTACTTGGGGATTAAGCATAATAAACCCCAAAAGGTTTAGGTGGTGACAAATGGAGAGCTAGGACGGTAAAAGCTTAATTTGCTGCTACGTGTCTACAAACTTGGAGCAATAAGATTAGATGCAAGCTTGTATAAATAGGAGATGGCACCACCGTCCAAAGAAAAGAGATATAAAATAAAGTAATATATATATATATATATATAGATAGATAGATAGATATAAGCGGGAGATAAACTAAAGGAGAGGAAACAAAAACAATACGCTCGGTAAATAATGATGGGAAATTAAAATCTACGTTAAAATGAGTTATGTTATACCTTAAGTTACCATAACATGTTTTCTATATGTCTTGAGTCACCATAATATATTTTATGAATGTTTTGAGTTACCACAATTTATTTTATATAATTTATGTTTTGTAGTTATATTAATGTTTCTATTATGTGGATTATTTTCTTACCTCTATTTACTTAAATTGAAACCCATGTATATGTTTTTTTAAATTTTAGAAAGTATTTGACAAAGATCTTGTAAACAATTATTTTCTGTAAGTACCACCACGGGAGTCCCATGCCTTGGGAGACTTAAATAACCATTGGCCCCTATTTAGCCACTTTGTGGTCTTCTGTTTGTCATGGATCCATCGCCCCATGTTCTGTTCTGTTCTGTACCGTGGTTATAGTTATTTACATAATTTCTGTATTTTAGTTTTTGCCACTTAGTTAATTTTTTTATTCAACTTAAATTATGTTAATGTTTTAACTTAAATAACTATCCATGGCTATTTTATGCCCCTATACTCACAGTATAATATTTTTCACTCTGTTATGTGCTTATAACTGTTACCCCTTTCAGGTGACGAGATTTAGCAGGATCAAGATGGGGGATAAATCACAATGTTTTCTTTTCTTTTTTTTTTTGTACTATTTGTATTTCTGATTGAACTCTTGTAATAAAATAAAAGCCCAAATAACTATTTTTGTTTCTTTTTAATAAACTTTTGGTACCTAATTACCTTATTTAAACTTATTTAATTTATCCATTACACTACTACTACAGAAATTTTAGAATTATTTCATTTTTATCTTGTTGCGACGCCAAACCTTTGGGTACTGGGTTTGGGTAGTGACAAAAGTGGTATCAGAGCAATGATTTTTTTTAAAAAAAATAGTATATGTTTTTGAATTTTTCTGTACAATTATTGACATTATTTGTAATTCACATTATTTGGATTGAAAATTATTTCAAAAAAATATATATATATACCAACTAAACCAAATTTTTAGTTTGTCTAATGCAAGTAAACTATGTTATACATATGTCTAGGCTAAGTTTTCCTGTGTTGTAGGAAATGGCCAATCTAATGGAGTTATTTTGGTTCGAGCTTTAGGAGCTTATCTTATCCCCAACCTATTAGAGGGCTGGGGTGATTCAGAGAGTCTTGTCGGGCAAGCCCATCTAACACTTGATCGGCTCATGGAGAGACCCGTATATTTGCAGGCCGACCCCTATGAGGATTTCTTATTTTGGAGATTTAGCCAAGGCAACATTCGTGAGAGGTACATAGGGTCGACCCATGTTGTTGGTCTTGCTCCGAACCTAGGACAACCGCATTTTTTGGTCGCACCTCTACCCCTAGGCTTTGCAGAGAGGAGAGGACATACATACCCTAGCAGCCACATTCGCACTACGACACCTCTTCCACAGCATATTATCCATACCCCAGTTGTGGACTTCGCTGACAGTGCATCATACTTGGAGATACCAGTACGAATTATTAGACGGGAGTTTTGGGGTTATGATCACGGTATCCCTGTTTACATAGCCCAAATGGTATGGCGTTGCTTTGGAGTAGAGCACAGTGAATGGGAGTGTGAGTCCCTCATGCAGGGGGAGGTTGCGGGGTTATTTCATGGCCTAGTTTTCCAAAGCCAGTTCTCATGGTGGTCTAACGGCCCCTTCTAGACGGCCGACCAGGAGATCTTTTTTGTGACCTGACCATGATTAGTCTAAGCCTTCTGTTTTTGTATTAGTAGGATTAGACACTAACTCCTGACTGTATTCTAAGCACGTTGTACTACTACCTTTTCTTTTGCATAAGTGAAAATTATATATGTACTGTTATAATATCTTATGAATCATAAATATGATATTGTGATAATTAAATGATTCAAAAAAAAAAAAACAAAGAAAAAAAAAAGGAAGTTCACTAATCGTTTTCACATTGTAATAATGGATAATGATGGAAATGGAACCGGATCGTCGATCAGCGGTACCGACCCAATGGAGCAAATTATGGAAAGAGCAGTTACCAGTGTCCTGTGAGCCCTACAAACCAACATAAGTAACGGAATGCCTGAATAAGGAGAAGAGCCAACTACAACAAAACAGTTCCAGGACTTGAAACCTACCATATTTACTGGCAGTACAAACCCACTGGTGGCAGAAGCTTGGGTCAGAGATATGAAGAAACTTTTCTGCGCACTACCTTGCACAGAAAGACAAAAGGTGACTTTCGCCATATTCACTTTCAAAGATGATGCACAAGAATGGTGGCTTCTTACCCTGGAGAAAGAAGATATTGTGACTTGGGCAAGATTCTTGGAGGTATTCTATGAAAAATGCTTTCCAGATTTGCTACGGGAACAAAAGATGGCAGAATTAATGCATCTAAGGCAAGGAACCATGACGGTGGCCGAATACGAGAGTAAGTTCACATAACTGGCTCGATTTGCGACATACGTCATCCCAACTGAAGCTCGAAAAACCAAGAAATTCGAAGCAGGATTAGATGCTGAAATCAAGGACATGCTAGAGGTTTTGAAAATATCAACCTATGCGGAGGTGGTGGATCGAGCATACATTGTAGAAAAAGGGATTAAAGCCTTGCGCTTTGGGGAACCAAGCGAATGGAAGTGATTTTGGAAAAGAGATAACAGAAGACCTGATGTCGCGCCTCTCAAGAGGATAAATACGGTCATAACTAGTTCAACCAGTTCAAGCAATTAAGGTCCTACAAATCCCAGAGGTGGCACCGTTCCAACTTGCTCTACTTGTGGAAGGACTCATTGGAGACAATGCCATCGTGACAAGGGAGCATGCTTTAGATGCGGCCAAGTTGGCCACTTGCTAAGAGATTATCCAAAGCTTGCCAATCCTACAGTCGTCCCCTCTGAACCAGTTCGAAAACCCGCGGTACTTGGAGGAGTGAGGAATGACCAAAAACGCAAAGAAAGAGCTTTTGCCCTAGTGCTTGGAAACCCAAAAGTTACTTAGAATATTGTGTCAGGTACACTTTCTGTTTGTGGTCACTTAGTTCATGTTCTCTTTGACTCTGGTTCAACTCATTCTTTTGTTAGACCACACTTTGCTACTAAGTTGGCATCAACACCCGAACCCTTAGGATATATATTATTTGTGTCTTTTCCTTCTGGTAACTCCGCCCTTAGTGCAGATGTGTACAAATCTTGTACTATATTCTTAAAAAGGAAAACCTTACACATAGACTTGATTCCCCTCTACATTAGTACATTTGATGTGATCTTAGAAATGGATTGGTTAGTTGCCAACCATGCCTCTATTGATTGTGAAGCCAAAAAGGTCTTCCTCCGGTCACCAAACCAACTTGAGCTTATCTTTGATAGAACTGGAGTCTCTCCCCCTCTATGTGTTATATCCTTCATAGCAGCCCAACGACTTCTAAGAAAGGGTTGTTGTAGTTATATCTGTTATATGATCAATACTCAACAAGAGGCCCCCACAGTTGATGCAATCCCTGTGGTTCGAGAATTTTCGGATATATTTCCTAAAGACCTACCGGGTACCCCGGTTGACCGAGAAATTGAATTCACCATTGAAACCCAACCTAGTACACAACCAATCTCAAAAATCCCTTATTGCATGTCCATAATAGAATTAAAAGAGCTGAAGACTCAATTCCAGGAACTACTAGACAAAGGTTTCATTCGACCAAGTACCTCACCCTAGGGAGCTCCAGTACTATTCGTAAAGAAAAAGGATGGCACGATGAGGTTATGCATCAATTACCAAGAGCTGAACAAAGTAACCATAAAAAATTGATACCCTCTGCCTCGAATCGATGACTTGTTCGATCAACTACAAGGCGCCCAAGTGTTCTCGAAAATTGACTTGCGTTCTGGCTACCATCAACTGAAAGTCAAAACGGAAAGCGTCGAAAAGACTGCCTTCAGAACCTGTTACAAGCACTATGAGTTTCTCATCATGCCATTTGGCATCACAAATGCTCCAACAGCCTTCATGGACGTCATGAACCGAGTGTTCAAACCCTATCTGGATGAGTTTATCATTGTCTTCATTGACGACATTCTTATATATTCCAAATCACCGAAAGACCATGAACAGCACTTACGAACGGTTTTACAAGCACTATGTGATCACAAACTCTATGCCAAGTTGAAGAAATGAGAATTTTGGATCACTAGTGTACACTTTCTCAGTCATGTCATTAACAAAGACGACATCTCAGTTGACTCCCAAAAAAGTTTCGGCAATCGTGGATTGGCCATGACCCACTAACGTGTCCGAGATTCGAAATTTCTTGGCTCTAACCGGCTATTACCGGCGCTAAGTGCAAGATTTCGTGAAGATAGCATCACCCTTGACCCCCTTGACCCAGCTAACTCAGAAGAACACACCCTTTGAATAGACCGACAAACAGGAATGTTGCTTCCAAGAATTGAAGAACAGACTTGTGACAGCTCCTATACTAGCACTTCCGCAGAAACAGAAGGGTTCGTAATTTATAGTGATGCCCCATACAATGGTTTGGGTTGCGTTCTTAAGCAAAATGGAAAGGTCATTACATATGCCTCACGTCAACTAAAGACCCACGAGAAGAACTACCCGACCCATAATCTGGAATTAGCCGTAGTAATCTTTGCTCTCAAAATCTGGCATCATTATCTCTACAAAGTAACCTGCGAAATTTACACAAATCACAAGAGTCTCAAATATCTGTTTACACAGAAGGAATTGAATATAAGGCAACGACGATGGCTAGAATTTATGAAAGACTACGATGTGGAGATCTATCACCATCCAGGCAAAACTAACATAATAGTAGACACGTTGAGTCGAAAGATTACCAGAAGTTTGGCATATACCTGCGTTCCTCGGAAGATCAATGAACTGCTTGCCAACATAATTGTGGAACCCGCGTTGATTGAAGAAATTAGAGCACGCCAATGCGAAGACAAACTTTTGCAGAAAAAGTATGAGGAGCAAAGAAGTATGCCTGATCCTGACTTCACTCTAAGTAATGAGATGCTAAAATTTTGGAATCGAATTTGTGTACCCGACCTTCCAAAACTCAAAAAGAAGATATTGGTAGAAGCTCATAGCTCGAGGTTTGCGATCCACCCTAGTAATACGAAGATGTATCATGATCTGAAGGAACGCTTCTGGTGGACAGGAATGGAAAAAGACATAGCAAGCCACGTCTCCAAATGCCTGCATTGTCAACGGGTTAAAGTAGAACATTAGAGACCTGCAGGAATGTTGCAACCACTCTCTATTCCTGAATGGAAATGGGAGCACATTACCATGGACTTTGTGGTCAGGCTACCGCAATCAGTCTCGAAGAATGATGCAATATGGGTTATCGTAGACTAATTGATGAAGTCAGCGCATTTTTTACCAATCAGAATCACGCACTCCCTTACCAAGTTCACCACTCTATACATTAAGGAAATCATTCGTTTACATGGTACCCCAGTGTTAATCGTGTCTGACCGAGACCCCTACTTCATATCCCATTTCTGGAACAAATTACAAGAAGTTTTGGGAACCACTCTAAAGTTTAGCACTGCTTATTACCTGCAAACTGATGGGCAATCTGAAAGAACAATCCAGACTTTGGAAGATATGTTGCGGGTGTGTGTGCTAGACCTCAAAGGTAATTAGGATGATCACCTAGCTTTGGTGGAGTTTGCCTACAATAATAGCTACCATGCAAGCATTGGAATGGTGCCATACGAGGCACTGTATGGAAAGAAATATCGATCACCTCTATGTTGGACAAAAATCAGAGATAGGAAATTATTAGGCCCTGAAATTGTACAAATCACAAGTGATAAAATTCAACTCATTCAACAGCGAATTCGCACTGCCCAAAGCTGCTAGAAAAGGTATGCAGATACACGAAGACGGGCTTAGAATTTCAGATAGGAGATCATGTATTCCTAAAGATCTTACCAACAAGAGGGATTATCCGATTTGGGAAACGGGAAAAGTTAAATCCCACATTACATCGGACCATTCGAGATACTAGAAAGGATTGGCCCTATGGTATATCGCCTTGCACTTCCACTTGAACTGTCTAATGTCCACAATGTGTTTCATGTTTCAATGCGTCGTCAATATCTTCGAGATCCAGAGCTTGTTGTCGATTATGAGAATCTGGAAGTTCAAGAAGACCTCTCTTATGAAGAGCAACCTGTATAGATTCTCAATCATCGTGATCAAGTTCTTCGAAACAAAACTATACCTCTTGTAAAAGTCTTATGGAGAAATCATCGTGCCGAAAAAGCGACATGGGAAACTGAAAGCCAAATGCGAGGCAAATACCCACACCTCTTCGAAACCCAAGGTACGTCAAGTTTGGGGACAAACTTCTATTTAGGAAGGGAGAAATGTGACACCCAAATATTCAATTAATTTTACTATGCAGTAAAAAAAAAAATCAAATACATAGATATGAATAAATAATAATAATAGTAAAAACTCTTAATGAATAAGGTCATTGGGGGTATTACAAAAATATATGTAAACAAATAAAATAAATAAAAATACGGGAACTACTTTAATTAATAATGGGGCTATTGTGTAATAAAGATAGTGCTTACTTGGGGATTAAGCATAATAAACCCCAAAAGGTTTAGGTGGTGACAAATGGAGAGCTAGGAAGGTAAAAGCTTAATTTGCTGCTACGTATCTACAAACCTGGAGCAATAAGATTGGATGCAAGCTTGTATAAATAGGGGATAACACCACCGTCCAAAGAAAAGAGATATAAAATAAAATAAATATATATATATATATATATATATCTAAGCGGGAGATAAACTAAAGGAGAGGAAACATAAACAATACGCTCGGTAAACAACAAGGGGAAATTAAAATCTATGTTAAGGTGAGTTATATTATACCTTGAGTTATCATAACATGTTTTCATTATGTCTTGTGTCACCATAATATATTTTATGAATGTTTTGAATTACTATAATTTATTTTATATAATTTATGTTTTGTAGTTATATTAATGTTTCAATTATGTGGATTATTTTCTAACCTCTATTTATTTAAATGGAAACCCATGGATATGTTTGTTTAAATTTTAGAAAGTATTTGACAAAGATCTTGTAAACAATTATTTTTTGTAAGTACCACCATGGAAGTCCAATGCCTTGAAGGACTTAAATAACCATTGGCCCCTACTGTAGAAATTTTAGAATTATTTTATTTTTATCTTGTTGCGACGCCAAACCTTTGGGTACTGGGTTTGGGTCGTGACACCCAGGGGATTATATTGCTACAAGGTCTTGCCTTTTGGCCTAAAAAATGCAGGTGCAACATTCCAACGAATGATCACCAAAATGTTCAAACCATTGTTAGGCCAAACAATGGAAGCTTACATAGACGACATGGTGGTCAAGAGTAAGAATGAAGGAGACCATCTCAAAGACCTAGCTAAGATGTTTCAAATTTTGAAAACCCACAAATTGTGACTGAACGCAACCAAGTACGCATTTGGCGTAGGATCAGGAAAGTTTCTAGGCTTTCTAGTGACAAACCGTGGGATAGAAGCTGATTTGTCACAGATCAAAGCCATTCAAGAGCTAGAAATGTCCAACATAATCAAAGAAGTACAACATCTCATAGGCCTGGCTGCTGCCCTTAATTGATTCATAAGTCGTCGTCCGATAGATGTCGACTGTTCTTCCTAGCAATGAAGGCCAAGTTTGAGTGGGATAACAAGTACGATAGCTCTGCAAGGCCTGAAAGAATATATGACCTTTCCACCGTTGTTGGCTACCCCGGTTCCCGGAGAAGAACTTTTTCTATACTTAGCAGTCTCCCAGCACGTAGTTAGTGTAGTGTTGGTACGAACGGAGAGAATACAACACTTGCCTATCTTTTACGTCAGCAAGACATTATTGGGCACTAAAACGAGGTGCCTACCGTTGGAGAAGTTGGCTTTAGCTTTGATGATGGCCTCAAGAAAATTGTCTCACTACTTCTATGTCCACACAGTGATCGTCTTAATAGTCTTCCCCTTAAAAGCCTTGTTCAAAAGGGTAGACTTTTCTAGGCGAATTTTGAAGTGGGTCGTGGAGTTAGGACAGTTCGACATTAAGTTTCAATCAAAAATCGCAATAAAAGTCCAAGCCTTGGCAGACTTTGTGGCCGAATTTACTCCAGGAAGTCATTATGTTTGCCTGGTCGACTTGACTGAGGCAATTGAACAAAGGAGGAAAAGTGTCATCGGGACAACGCTGCCCCCGTAGCAAGTTACTCAACTGCGCAGCAAACCACTTAGCCTTGCAGAAAGAGAAGAAAGAGCAGGCCGCACTACAACAAGCAAGGACTCGACTAAAAGTGAAGTCCTAAGACAGCCAGGCAGTGAGGACCAAATCATAACAACGGACAATAACTTACAAGAAGACAGCGTCAGCATTAACGTTCTTAATCCTAAGGTGTCATCAGAGCCCTCCACTTGCTGGAAGTTGTTTGTATGAGAGATATGGAAGCTCTTCATAGGTGGAGCGTCCAACACGCACGGTGCAAGACTCGTCATAGTTTTCATCTCACCAGATGGCTTGACCATTGAACAAGCAATCAACCTTGGATTTCCAGCATCCAACAATGAGGCGGAGTATGAAGTATTATTAGCTGGTTTGAAGTTAGCATTTTGCATGGAGGTCACCGAACTGATGGTATACAGTGACTTCCAACTTGTAGTCAACCAAATTTTAGGCGACTACAAAGTAAAAGATGATAGAATGGCCAAGTACCAAGAGTTGGTCAGAAAGGAGATCATAAAATTTAAAGTGGTTAGGATAGAGCAAATCGGTCGAGAAAAAATAGTAAAGCAATGAGCTGGCCGATTTTGCATCAATGACAGATACGTCTATCCCACACCCATTGTTAATAGACTTCTTGCTAAGACCAAGTATCGAAGAGCCTGAAGCGGCTGAAGCATACTGCGCCGATCGAGGTCCTTCCTGGATAGACCCCATCATAGTGTTTTTAAAATATGACATTTTACTTGAAAAAAAGAAGGAAGCCAACAAAATTGGCGCCAAATCATAGCGGTTTTGGCTTTCCCCATCCCTAGCATTGTACAAGAAGTCCTTCACAGGACCATGCTTGATGTGTGTCCATCCTTGCAAGGTCGAGGCATTCTTGTTTGAAATTCACGAAGACGTGTGTGGGAGTCATCAAGGAGGGTGATCCCTGGCCTACCGAGCTATTTCACAAGGGTATTAATGGACATACATGCAAGCGGACGAAGGGAAGTATGTCAAGAAGTGTGAGAAATGTCAGAAGTTCGTACATCAAATACATCAACCAGCCAGAGAGCTCATACTTTTGATCAGCCCTTGGCCCTTTGTAATGTGGGGCTTAGATATAGTAGGACCACTCCCAACCGCGCCGGCCAATAGGAAGTTCTTTCTCGCGGCAATGGACTACTTCACAAAGTGGGTGGAGGCAGAAGCATTCACATCCATCAAAGAAAAATATGCCAAGAAGTTTGTCTAGCAGAACATCATAACCCGATTTGGAACTCCCAAGGCTTTGATATCTGACAATGGCACTCAATTTGATAGACAAATCTTTAGGGTTTTTGCGAAGAATACAAGATAGAATTTTATAACTCTATGCCAGTGTACCCCTAAGCCAATGGCCAGGCAAGATAGAATTTTATAACTCTATGCCAGTGTACCCCTAAGCCAATGGCCAGGCTGAAGCTTCCAACAAGGTAGTCTTGGATGGTCTGAAAAGAAGGCTAGAAAAAACAAAAGGCAAATGGGCTAAAGAACTTCCCCACGTTTTATGGGCTTACCAAACTACACCTTGGTGGTTGACTGGCAAAACACCTTTTTCCTTGGCTTATGGCATGGAGGCAGTAATCCCTCTAGAAGTTGGCCTTCCCACCATTAAAAACGAAAATTTTGATCTAGACTTGAATGGAGAGGCCATAGCCCTAGAATTAAACCTTGCAGAAAAGAGAAGAGAAAAGGCATTGGTACACATTGCCTCATATCAACAGGAGTTGTCCAGGAAATACAATAAAGCGGTGCACCCAAGGCAATTTAAGATTGGTGATTGGGTGTTGCGCAAAGTAATGGGAAACACTTTGGTGCCTGGAGATGGCAAATTAGGACCTAATTGGGAAGGACCGTACAGAGTGATTGGTTTGGCAGGAAAAAGGACATATCACCTAGAAGATGTGGGCAGTCGAGCTATTCCAACCCCATGGA